CAATTAATCAGAAAAAAATCTAGAAGTGGAGGTATGGCTCAAATGATAGAGTGCCAGCCTAAAAGATAAAACCAGGTGCAATGGCTCAAATCTGTAATCTCAGCTGCTTGGAAGGCTTGAAGTTTGAAGCCAGCCTGGGCAAAATGTTCACAAAAACCCCATCTCAACCAATAATAGATAGGTATACTGGTTTATGTCTCTCATCTCAGCTATGCAGAAAGTATAACTAGGAGAACTGTGGTCCAGGCCAGCATAAACTCCATATCTAATTTTAAAAATAGCTAAAACAAAAAGATTTAGGGGGGTATGACTTAAGTGGAAGCATGACTGCTTCACAAGGTCAAGACTCTGTGTTCAAGCCCCTTACCAACATTCCCCCCTGCAAAAAAAAAAAAAAAAAAGGAATTGGTTTAAAAAAAGAAAAAAAAATAAAGAAAAAGGAAGAAAATAAGAAAAAATATTTGGGGACAATCTTAGAAATACATAAATTTGAGATTATGACAGCCACACTCACAAGACTGGAATATTGCCAAAGCTGCTATCTCCTCCACTTGCTACAGAGTATTAAATGGCTTCTGATTTCAGTTTAACAAGTTTAAGCATTTTACACTTGAATTGGAAACTTCAGCTGCCTGTCCAGCACATTCTATCTCCCATCTAAATATTCCAGTATTAGAAGCAAATTGAAAGTACAAAGGAGGATCCACTAATAAGAGGGTGACCACCCCAGTTTTCCTAGGACCATCCCAATTTGATCACTGAAAGTCCTGTGTCACAAGACCAGGATGGTTGGTCTCCCTACCTAATAAGGACATTTAGAAAGGTTTTAGGCTCACATTTTCCTCTCTCATTTTCTAATAATTTCCTTATTGTTATAGTTCTTTAGTGTTAACAATTTTTTCTTTACAAATATTCAATATACCCGAGAATCCATAATCTCTGATCTTTCACTGTGAGAACTAAGAATTTACTTATTTTTTCCAAGCCCCAATTTCTTTCTTTATAAAATGAAAAATGGTGATGATAGTATCCATTTCATTGGTTTGTGTAAATACTAAATGAAAATATGCAAATATAATGTTTAGTATCATTATAAATGTTCAATAAATATTAGCTATTAACCTATAGCTGTTATATAACATAAAATTGAAGGGAGGGTGTTTAAAATCCATCTCTCAGAAAATATAACTAATTGAGTGAATTACATATGTCTCCACTCCAAAAATCTCTTTTAAGATATAAAACCACTTTTAGGTTTTAAAAAAATTGATAAAATTACCTTTTGCAGATGATGTGTCATGGTGGTGTGAAATATGCTAATTGTATAATTTTACTATTGTGCCAAGATAATAAAACTCTTTCTCAAAAAAAAAAAAAAAAAGCCAGGTGCCCATGCTTAGCTACTGTGATGACGTTTCAAGCCAGCCCAGGCAGGAAAAATCCATGAGACTCTTATCTCCAATTAATCAGCAAAAGGCCAGAACTAGAGGTGTGGCTCAAGTGGCAGAGTGAGAAGAAAAGCTCAGGGACAACACCCTGGCCCTGAGTTCAAGTCCCAGAACCTGCACAAAATAAATAAAATACACTTGTCCCCATAATAGTTTAGAGGCAGCCTGTACATATAAGCAGGCTGCATGCCCATCACCACTGATTCCCATGTGTACATAGCACTGTCCAATAGAACTACATATACTTAAAACTGAAAAATTTAAAAAAAACACATTTAAACTTTAATAAAGATTTTCCAGGATAAGATTAAAGTTGTAAAAATCTTTACATGGGACCACTACAACATCATAGCAAAAGAAAAAAAACTTTATGGAATAGTGATTTTCTAAAAAGCCAAGGGAAACCAAGCAAGTGAACACACAGTTCTACCCTCAAACTGCTTATACTCTTGCGCTCCAAGGAAACAGAGAGCTAAGCTGGAAGCCAGGGAGAGGTCAAAGTAGACAAACTCGATATAAATCAAGAATGTGCCCTGCCCTCTTCCAAAAATACGGGAGCCCTCACAGTAGGGAGGATGGGGGACAGGAGGAGGGATGGGTAGGATAGATTCTCGAGGCAGCCTTGAAAGTCAACAAAGGAAAAAAGACTCCCAAACAGGAATCTGAAAATTCTACTCATGAAATGAACTAGGAATAAAAATGATGGCTGAAGTATGAAGATAGAAACCCAGGAAATTAAATGAAGCAATGGAAAACAAAGTTCACTTAGAAGACTGTTCATCCCAGACCCTGAAGAAGCCCCTTGACCAGAAGTAATTGTTTCCTAGTTTGCTAAGGAGCATGTCATTCTGTGTAAAGCTAAAACTGAATTCAGAATCTCCAATCCCAGTTGTCAAGGAAAGTAAGGGAATTATTTATCCCACTAGAACTATAAGTTTATTACCCTGTAGGACCTTGCCACTGTCTCCTTAGCCCCAGGGAATCTGGGCAGCATACCTGCTTGCTTCACAGGAACAGTTTAGGACAAGAGATTGCTCTCATCCCAGGAGGCAGGATGTCCAACAGTGTACCCCCTCCCTCTACCAGTGCCTCAACATCCTCCCTACACATACAATGCAGCAGTTCCAGGCTTTGCCCCAAACTGAGCATCAACAAACCTCTATCAGTGGAGTGGATGAAAAAGGAAGTCTTCCCATTCAAGAAACTCAAACAGGCAGGATGCTCCTGAGGTGTGGCACAAGTGAATACTTACATCACCAGCTCATAGCCTTATACCTAACTCACTAAGGCTTGATCTTCCTAGTTTCAGAAGTAGGAAGAAAACCTAAAAGAAAAATTACACCAAAACCATGGTAGGGTAGTTTCTCTCCCAGTTGGACGCAAACGCTACAGTTCCAGGTTTCTTCCTGCTCAGCTCCCAACAGAGCCCAGCAAGTTTCCAGATCGTTAGGAACCTGTTACAAATTTTGCTCTGCGGGGTTTCAGCATCTGTGGGCTGAATGCACTTGTAGTAATCTTTTACTCGAAATGTAGATCTCTCGAAACCTGTTCTGTCCACGGCCTAGTTTATTTTAGATAATAATTTGACAACTAAAGTAGAGTAATAGATTGGAAAGCACTTCAATGGTATTGAAAATGACTGAAAAAATACAACTTGTTATAAGGACATTAATGAAGTCTGCAACCTTGCTTGTCTCTGCCTGGAACCACTGGAGTGAGGGGGAGGTGATGATGTAGAGAGAAGGAAGGCAGACCTTATCTTAGCAGGTAGTGAGGGCAGGCGCCTTCATTTTTGTACTGTTTAAAAATTTTCCTATTAGAGTCCCATAGCCACCAGCTAATTTACAACTATTTTACAAGTACTTCAGAATATCTTATCACTTTGGACTAACCACTTGCTCATGACCTAGAATTTGAGCTAGAAGAAGGCTTAGAAAGACCACAAAGTTCAGGTGACTTAGAAAAAAGTAAAGCCATACTTTTCCTACCACCTAGGCCTCCAGAAGCACAGCAGGGATGTCTTACTTACATAACCTATGCCATTGAGCAAGAGTAAATCCACCCTTGTGTACATATGTACACACACAAACACACCAAACCTATGATGCCTCGATTCTTGTAAACTGTTCACACTAGAGTGGCTCAGGCTGGAGGACAGCAACCGTCCTTGGGCATTCCCATTGTGTTTTTTCCCCCTCCACTCTCACTTTTTTTTAAAATTAATTTATTTTTGGGGGCGGTCCGGTCGTGGGGCCTGAACTCTTCAGCTCAAGGTTAGCGCTCTACCACTTGAGCCACAGCGCCACTTCTGATTTTTTCTTTTTGCTTATGTGGTGCTGAGGAATCAAACCCAGGGCCTCAGGCATGCAAGGCAGGCATTCTACCACTGAGCCACCTTTCCAGCCCCTCCACTCTCACTTTCTTACCTCCCCAGCAGGCCTTCTAGAAAGTTGGATTTGCATACAAACACATGCCTGCATTAGCAGGGATTTATCTACTCCCCATACTCCTGTCACACAATGTTCTTTAGGCACTTGGGAGATGTGTCCTAAGATGCTCTCTGGGGCTGCTTTTTACCTACAATGATTCAAAGACTGTCATCTATAAAGAATGTGGTATCTGTCCAGAAAACTGGAAGTGGTGCTGTGGCTCAAGTGGTAGAGAACTTGCCTTGAGCTAAAGATATCAGGGACAGCGCCAGGCCCAGAATTCAAACCTCATGATCAACAAAACAAACAAACAAACAAAAATCGTAAGCTTGACGCAGATGGCTCACGCCTGTAATCGTAGCTACTCAGGAGGCTGAGATCTGAGAATCACTGTTCAAAGCATGGGCAGGAAAGTCCTTGACTCTTATCTCCAATTAACCACCTGAAAACCAGAAGTGGTGCTGTGGCTCAAGTGGTAGAGTGCTAGCCTTGAGCTGAAGAGGTCAACGAAGTGCCCAGGTCCAGAGTTCAAGCCCCACGACCAAAAAAAAAGTAAGTAGTGTCTGAAATTCTCACCAGTCTGTGACATTTTCCCCTTTTCACAACCCTCCTCCTCCTCCTGCAAGCAGCCTACTTTATCTTGACATTTTGTTTGTCTTCACGGCCAGTTATAGCTACTCCGTAATTTCAAAGCTTTTACACTTTCAATTGGAGTTTGCACATTTAGAAAGAGGCTTGTGGGGGGAGGGGGCAGGGTCTGGGATTCATAGAAGTCCTCATAACAGAATCTCCTTAAAGGCTGTGGAAATGTATGCATTTGAGAAGGGGATACTGTCCATGTCCTTCAAACCCATAGTTAAGTCTGTCCACCCTCTGCGTCCTCGTGTTCCCTTGAAGACTTTGCAGGCACTCTTCAAAATAGGTTTGCACCTGCCAGGCCTCCCCTGAGCTCTGCAGCACTCCAGCTGGCCTCAAGTTCCAGTCATGGCAGCTTGTGAGCCAGACCTTCCCAGTGCCCCCTCGTGAACTTCCTGGCTGCCCCTTTTTAGCAGAGGTGGGGATCCAGCCGAGGCTAGTGTGAGCAGAGAAGTCTCCCATCCACCCCGTGTGTGCAGCCACCCACCTGTGGAAGAAGAGCAGGATGGAGAGCATGGTCTGGTCGATGTTGCGATTGCAGATGCCCTCATTGATTAGGTAGCAGGGGTCCCGCAGCACAGGCTCCAGCGAATCCTGCCGCATTATGTTGTTGAGCTTGTCCGTGTTGAGATTCTCAAAGACCAGCTTCTCCTGCAGCTGCCGAAAGTTGCTCACGGTGGGGCTGGAGTTGTTGTTCCCACTGCTGTCTCCCTGGAGCCCACTTCGGTGGGCCAGGTCCAGACAGCAGTTGCAGCAGTCGAGGCCGACAGGTGAGCGGCAGTCGACTTTAGACTGAGCCATCTTTTCAGTCTTGGGGGCCCCCTGGTCTGCGTGTTCAGGGGTGGTTGGCAGGTGCGCGCCTGCCGGGCTGTCCTCACCGGACTCCAGGGTGCCTAGAAAAGACAAGCTGGACGAAGAAGAGTTGGAAATTAGCGCCTAAAGCCAGCCACCCCTCGGCTCGGCCCCCTTCTGGTTGCACAGCTCAGGGTGCGAATAGAAACAGCTGGACAAACAGCTCTGAGCGGATCCTTCGGGCTCACTTCCTCCTCCTCCTCCTCGCCCTCGTCCTCCTCCTCCTCCTCCTCCCTCTTCTCTTGTGACTGAGGCCTTCTCTCCCCCTCGCCCCCCAACACGAGGTGCCACCCGCAGCCCTAGTTCAATCCCAAGTTTCTCAAGTGTGGGGAAAGCTCCAGGCGGACCTGTGGCGGCAGGAAGGGCAGGCAGCAGGGCAGACGGAGAAACGGGCGAGCCTTTGCTCCCTCCCTCCTTGGCTTCCTCCCTCACTCCCTGATTGCAGGCGTTAAGGGCTCCCTAGGGCTCCGCCAGCAGTGAGGTGACTGGATCTGAGAGAGTGGAGCGAATAGGGGGCGTGAGAGTGGCCCGCCTTGCCCAGGAGTCTGCTCTCCGCTATGACAGCATGTAAATGACTCCCGGGGGCCGGTGAAGGCCAGCCCTCCGCCGCTTCTCGGGCGGCCGCGGACCAGGTCTTCGCCCCGCCCCGCCCGCCTCCTGCCCGCTGGCACCCAACGCCCGCACAGTCTCGTGCACCCTCGCCGCCCAGCTCCTACCAAGCCTCTCCGGAGACTCCTGCGGTCGGCGCCCCAGTGCCCACAGCGCATCTTCCGCCACAAATGTGCGGATAGTCTGGCGGCAGCACCGCGCCTCCCTAGGGCGCCCGGCCCAGTGTGTTTGAATCTCCGCTGCCGGGCAAATGGTGCTAGTCCCACTGCCAAGCAGCCCCCTGCAGGAGGAACGTACAGCCCCACCGCCGGGGAGGGGGGCGCGCCTCGTTTCTCAGGCGGTGTCGACAAAAAGCAGTCGGAGGGTATCGAGTTTTACGTCAGAAGTTCCCAAGAATCGTCTTACTCAAAAGTCCCAGAAGCACGCTCCACGTCTACCCCCGTCTCCTCCCTTCCAGAGCAAAGCTGTTCTCACCACCACCACCACCACTTGTTCGCTCTTCACTTTCCTGAACCCACAGTGTCCCTCCGCGTCCTCAGTTCACCCCCTTCTCGGTCTCACCCGCTCCGTCTTTCTCTCCCCTTTCTCTCACTTGGCCACAATTTCCGTCATTTTTCTGTCCTCCCCTCCCCCCCCCATGTTTTCCTTAAATTAAAAAAAAAAACGTACTTTGCACATCCCCTCTAATTCCCCCCTCATATCCTCCTCCCCCTTTATTAATTTCTTTTCTTCACCTTTCCTTGACTTAATTATTCCTTTTCACCCCTAAACCCCCCTCCCTTGTTCGTCTCCCTTCACTCTGCTCATTTATTTTCCTCTTACTTCTACCGGGCAGTATTCCCACTCTTCTACTTGATTTATCTTCTGTTTTTCTAAACTTGCTCTGCTCCCTTTTTTCTGATAACTTCAGGTGATGTCAGGCCTCCTTACCCTTCCTAGAGAAAACAGTTGTGGAGTGTCTGTTCCCGCCTAAGCAACAGCAGAAAACGAGTACCTGCTCGAGAGACCCTCCGCGTAGGGGAGGGACTTGCGTGACAAAATGCGGGGTTAAAAGGGAAGTGAAGTGGCAGACATGTTGGGGGAGCTGTCTAGTGCCCTAAGTTATATCCCAACCTGAGAGGTTATGGTGGGGGAGGAAGAGTTGCAGAGTGGACAAATGACAGATTTTTAAAACGTGTTTTAAAACAGTGTTTTAAAACGTAGGTATTTTGAATGGGAACGCATGATATTTGAACGTTGTTGCTTTCTGGAAAAAAAGTCAAAATATCTATTAATTCGTTTTCATATTAAACTCGGGATTTCAATTCATTCCTTTTCCCCACCCCCTCTCCCCTCCTTTACTTTAGTCACAAGCCCACAGTAGTTGAAAAAGCAGTATATACTGCCATCTACTGGTGTTAAGTTGACATAAGCGATCACTGTTTCACAGCGTGCCAAGGCGCTTGGGAGACACCAGACAGGCCTCCTGGTGGAGCCCACAGTGCATGGATTCTGACCATAAAAGAGGGGACAGCAGAGGAGTGGAGGCAAAACTCTAACAGAGGCCCATTGCTGAGGTCTGGCTTCGAGCTGCTCTATGTTTTAATGCAGCTTCATTTGTCTATATCCATGAAGAATGCACTTTCATTTCATTTTCCTTCAGACTCCAGTGATGACTTAGAGAAAAGGGGAGGAGGGGGCTAACAAATTCTTGTTTCCAAAGCCTTGTGAATGCTGTATGGAACCCCCAAATCGTGAGTGAAATGGGGAAAACCGTACACTCTCTGTTAAGAGTAACCAGAAAAAAAAAAACCCAAAAAGGAAAACCAAGCAGCATCCTTGGCTCCTGACAAGGTCCCAACGTAAGCGTCACAAATGGCTATCATGGTGATTGGGAGGGAACAGGTAAGAGAATGACCCCCGTTTTCTCACAGAGTGCTGAAACTATGTTTCTTTTCTCAAAAGCCAATCATTTCCAGTCAGGCCTCATTGGCTCAATCCTAGAATCCCTGGAGGATGGGGGAGGGGTTCCGGAAAAAGCCTGACAGCATACCGGAAGAAGGGGAGTAGGATAGGGGGCTCAAAGCGAGACCGGAAAAAGGTCAACACCCCACGGGAAGTAGGGTGGAGGGAAGAAACTCAAGGACAGACGGAAACAAGGCAAAGTCCCCTCCGGAAGTAGGAAGGTGGGGTAGGGGGCTCATACACCAGACCAGAAATAGCTTGACACCCTATTGGAAGTAGAGTAGAGGGAGGAGACTTGAGGCCAGACCGGGAAAGGCCTGGTATCCAAATGGAAGTTAGGTAGAAAGAGGAGGTTCGAAGTCAGATGGAAAAAAGCCTAAGACCCCCGGACGTAGGAGGGGGAGGGAGTGTAAGGCTTTGTTTGAAATGAAGCTTAAAAAAAGGGGAAACAGAGCCGGCACCGGTGGCTCATGCCTGTAATCCTAGCTATTCAGGAGGCTGAGATCTGAGGATGACGGTTCAAAGCCAGCCCTGACAGAAAAGTCCGTGAGACCATTATCTCCAATAAACTACTAAGAAAAAACCAAAGTGGTGCCATAGCTTAAGTGGTAGAGCGCTAGCTTTGAGCCCATGGAGGCACACAGGGCCCATACCCCGAGTCCAAGTCCAAGACTTCCTCCGCCTTCCCTCCTCCCACCCCCCCAAAAAAGAGGATCTGGTAGTATAACACACGCGATAGAGGTCTTACCTAACAAAGTTTGGGTTCCTAAGTTCATCTCCAGTACTAGGGGATAAAAGAGCCAATTCTGTATGTGTGTTATTTTTCCTTTTCTTCTTCCTTATTTAGAAATGTTCCAGGGGAAAAGCCATCGAGAATGTAAAATATGAAAATTCATCTGCGTTGTGTAGACTTATAGCCTGCTGAATTGTTTTTTAATTACATTGTTTTCCCCCTCGTTTACAATTATTTTAGGTTAAATGTTATAGTGCAATGTATTAGATCCATAAATGTTTGCTTAAGTGGTGTTTTGAGAACTGCTAGGCCTTTTGCTCCAATATTTATTTAAGTCCTCTTATCTTTGTGCATAACCTTGGGATGAGGTCCTGGTGGAAGTCTTTTCTTCTTGGCATTTGGGACCATTAAATTCAAGATTTTGTCCCCTTGACATTTTCCTTGTAGTCCTTGCTCTCAAGCAATGTTGTTAATAATTCAATACTGCTTTGCATTCCATGTCCAGGCTGATCAAGAGCAAATATAATTGAGATACAGAAAAATCTAGATAGTTAAGAAAAAGAGTTCAGAGAGCTGCCATATGTTTACACACAGGTCCAACTTGTATTGACATACTGCATAACATCTGTGTCTGACTGGTCAGGGCCACCTTGGCTCTCTACTGTGAAGCCTTGCTGTGCTCCTATATATTGTATTGGATGTAGAGACACCAAGCAGCAAAATGTCCCTGCATAAACCCAGAGAGTAGATGGGAGGGCTCACTTCCAAAAAGAGCTGGTGGTGGCTTTTTAGGTAGAAGAAATGTAGGACAGAAAGAGCACCTTCTCAGATGAATTTATTCACTGGTCACTTATGGTGCAGTGCCTGGTGTAGTATTAGTGAGATTTTGAGGTAAGGCTGACATAGCTCAAGCCCCCAAAGAACACATGGCCTAACTAGAAAAACAAATACATAGACTATACATGGTACGTGATGATAAAGGTTTGGTGGCATGGCAAGAGCATGTGCTATGAGACTGTGAAAGAGGGCTTTACTCTTAAAAGATTGATAGAACAACCTATAGTAGATGCTCCTTGATTGATGTACAATCATTCCAGTGAGCCCACTGTAGGTTGAAAATACCATGTCAGAAATGCATTCACAAGCCGAGTACCAGTGGCTCACGCCTGTAATCCTAGCTACTCAGGAGGCTGAGATCTGATGATCGTGAGTCAAAGCCAGCCTGGGCAGGAATGTCTGTGAGACTCTTTTCTCCAATTAACCACCAGAAAACCAGAAGTGGTGCTGTGGCTCAAATGGTAGAGCACTAGCCTTGCTGAAGAGCTCAGGGACAGTGGCTAGGCCCAGAGTTCAACTCCCTTGACCTACCCCAAAAATGCATTCACTGTGTCTAACCTACTGAACACCACCATTTAGCAACATAGTATCCCATAGAGTACCAGTCTTTTACCCTCCTACTCATGGCTTACTGGAGCTGCCCAGTATTGTAAGAGGGTATAGAGCCTAAGACAAGATTCAAATTCAAATTTGAATTAGTTTTAAGTGAATGCATATTGCTTTTGCACTATCATGAAGGTGAGTCATCATAAGTCAAGGGCTATTTGTAGATAGACTAGTGGGCAGGAGTCTTGGGGTGAGAATAGTGTATGTGTTTGGGGCCAGTGTGGATTCATGTTTGTGTTTTTGAAGACTCAAATGTGAGAGCTGAAATATTCACAGTTGAGGCTGGAAAGGGACTTGGGGACCGTGGCTCAGGGGACCCAGTATAAAACATTAAAAACTCTCAATATGATCGAGGTACTTTATATGCATGTATAAAAATATAATGAAACCCATTTAAATTGTTAAAAGAAAGAAGAAAGGGGATATGAAAGAGTAATGGAGGAGGTGAATGTGATCAAAGTGTATTATATGTGTGTAGGGAAATATCACAATGAAACCCATTTGAATAATTAATATACACGAATAAAAAGGATTTTTGCAAAATTTTAAATTGTTATTATAAAAGTAATGTACAGCAGGGTTAGAGTTACATAAGTTAAGAGTACATTTCTTTTTGGATATTGTCACCCCTTCCCTGGCTCTCTCCCAGTGTCTCCCATCCCTACCTACAAGTTGTATAGTTCATTTTCAGCATAGTGTCTAGTGAGTACCATTGCTGCATTTGTTCACCCTTTGATCTTCCATTTCTGTGAAGGAATTAAAAG